TGCCAGGCCGGCGGTGCAGAAAAAGGCATCACAGAAACGCGCCAGTAAGTAAGGGATTTTTATTTGGCATTCAGGATGGAAGGAGAACGGAGACGCACCAAGGGCGTACCTAAGGGCGGGCTGTATGATCGCGTACATGGATGTCGGATTTGGGTTGACTAGCACGGGCGCACTTGGTCTACCGTCGCTGGCAAGTCAGTTACGAGAAGTAGATCCTGCGAGTTCCAGTTCGACATGGGAGGCATACAACAAATTCCTTCGTTAAAGTTTCAAGCGGAGTTGTAAAAACCGACAGGTGGTTTTCGTTGGTCAGCCAGCGCAATCGAAGATACCGAAGGATCCCAAGTTTGAGTTTTGAACTGCTGAGCGGTGTATGAAGCCGACGGAACTGCTGAAACTGTTCAGCGTACGCGTGTCAACGGTCAAGTGCGAGTCGAAATGCAGACAGCTGTTTGGAAATGAAAGTCAATCTAGTCATTTCGGAGGAGGAGGAAGGCGCGCATGGTGTGCGTCGCGGCCACGTACTCGGTAAAGGTTCGCCATACACGTCATCTTAGAGATCTGGGCGGGTGTCGTTGACTCCCGAACTAGATGGAAACAGTGAGAGCAGATCGGAATGGAAATGATTAAGCAACCCGATTAGAAACGTTCAGGAATCGAGGAGCTGTGAAAATGGCAAAAAAGAACTTGAAATCAACCGGAACGTGGCCAGCGATCCGAAACCGCAAGATGAGATGCGTGGGTCAAAGGAGTGCAGAATCCGAGACGGAAGGCGCGTGTACTATTGAAGGCCTTGACGTGGCTATCGGGCGAGTCCCGAATCAGTGCGCGAAATTATCGAAACGTAAATCTCGAGCCGTCAGTGGCCGGTGGTAGCGGGATACGACCAGGGAGAGTGGAAGTCGCGATTATCATCAAAGGGCAGCACGCTGGCGGATTGGGAGGAAGAAGCCAAGAGAAAAGCAAAGCGAGACTCCAAGCGCGAAGAACTGCGGTGAGTGCGTTCAAGCCCGGGCAAGGGCATAGGAGGCTGGGCAGGCAGGGTAGTAGTAATATTGTATGGCCTTGAGACGCGCCGGCAAAATGGGGACGACGCGAAGGCGCAGGTTGATTGGAACGGACATCGACGGGGCATTGCATTGCGGCATCATGTTGCGCAGTCATGCATATCGTGAAAGACGGGAGGATTGAACGCCACGAAGAGGTTTGAGAGAACGCCCTGAATGTTGGTTCTGGCCGCCTGAGGAGAGATAGCGGTTTGTGGAGCCGCCGATTGAGAGAGCTCGCTCCGTGCGGTGCATGCGCGCCAGTTCAGACCCGGAAGGCCGGCGCTTCGAACCGTGGCACACCAACGGAAATAGATTGTGGATGTTGTATAGACCGTTCGCATATCGGGCGGCACGCTCCGGCAGGAGGAGTACTGGAGTACTAGAGCGAAAGGCGAGCCCCGACTAAAAGAACTGTCGGCCGACGCCACGTCGATACAGGAACAGGGACTTGACTAGGAAGCCATAGATGCTGGATACTGAAATGGCGCATTATAGAGGCAATGTCAAAGACATCTCAGTAGTGACCACGGAACGAGACTCCAGAGGGTAGTTCGCGGCACCGCCGGTAACCTAGTACAGCGGGTGCTGGTGATGTCGTTGGTGCTGGACAAGAACTGTACTGGGGTATCGAATTGAGACAACGTCATGGAAAGAATGAAGCGGAGGAGTATCGGGTTCTGCAGTGCGGGTACGAGGTCCGGACGCGGCAGTAGCGCACTGAGAGCACCACCCACCCCGTACGGAGTAAATGGCAGCCCTTGCAGGCCACAGGACGGCAGACCCAGCAGCGGGTTGAGTGGTTTAAATGCCGGAGTACAGCCGAGGGCATCGCAGAGGTTGGGAGTCTCACCTCGAAGTTGGTGGCATGAAAGAAAAGAGAGACGACGGTGTTTGTCTATATTGAAAAGAAACGGCACACTACCGGCCCGACTCACCGACTCACCGAAACGGGCCAAGGACCATAGAAAATGCGACTGCAACTATGGCATGCTGCTGGCTTGCTAATTATCTCGGTTTTTGAGCTTGGGAAAATAAGTTCACACGAAAATTCCACACTGATATACTCTCAACTTGTTCCAAGTGCAACCAAAGCGGCGCGCTGTACAACGTTGCAGTTAGAAGTCCTCGGAAGGCACCTTCCGCTCATTTCAAACAAATTGTTGGTTTATCTCAAATCCACCGGAGTACAGGGCCAATCTTGCATGACGTTCAATTGAGTGTTTCCAACCGAAAACAGATGCCGAACGAAGAAACAATCCTTGAAACAATGATTACGCAAAGTTATATTAATGAACATCCCTACTCACAAGATGACGCCGAAATCCTGTACGGCTGAAGGTACCAACTTGGAAGTTCACATTACGGTGAGGTTTGTACCTTTTTCCATTTTCTTTTCCCTACCACATGCCCTGAATTTCTGCAATTATAATTTATAGCTCGAGGGTCGTATAGTTACTCCCTCAATTAGGCTCGTGGCAGGGCGCCAACCGTATGTGCTCGTCTCCCACCGAGCATGCTCCCTAAACTGTCCTTGCAATTCTTCTCACCGCCAACCCGCGCTTAGCGTAAATTTGGCCTTGCACTAAGTATTACCAATACCGACTTGTTGCCAGATCGTCCGCCTCTGCCCGCAGCTGATTCTGGCTGAATGGGATCGAGACCCATTCGATCCGGGAGCGCTGAAAAATTTCCTCGTTGATGCGCATACGGCGCGTCTGAGAGCGCAAGCTGGATATAAAAATACCAGACTCAACACTACACCAATGACGACCGTGATACTATGTGTGTGCGAGTGGGTCAAACCATGTTCAGTGCCCGACTGGGTGTGAACGGCGGCGGCGAAGGCAGAAATATGGCGAGGATACGTGACGTTGGCGAGACGGTGAGCGGCGGCAGGGACGACGAGGAGATATAGAAATACGAGAGATATGATGTGGAGGACGAGGGACGCGACGAGGACCGACATGAGCAACGACGAAGGCTCAATGCAACGACATACGGAAATCTGATGGGAAACGGGGATACAATTCTCAGACAATTCTATTGTTTGGAATAGGGACAAAAGATGGAGTATATATACTGGAAGCCAAGTCAGGAGAAATGTCTACAATAATCTCGAGGCTGTACGACGTGCGAGCGTATCGGAGGTGAACACGACCCGAGACAAGAAAGCTGTACAAAAGAACTAACACAGGGGGCATAAGCCACCGCTTATAGATCCATAAGCGGCAAATGCTTATGTCTCGCTTGTGCCAGGCTTATTACTCGCTTATCGATGGGGATTTGCCGGGTTGCCGGTGGGGTGATGTCTGATTTGCATCACTGATCCAATCAACAGGTACCAGCGGCACAAGGTAAATAAGCCTTGCAATAGAGATACTCTTAAAATAATGGATCAGCTTTTGGCTCAACTCACATCTTACATTGTTTCCCAGGCCAGAAACCAAGTACAATCTAAATTCAGGCTCACGTTCCTCTCTCGATCCATGAGAAAACATAGACTCCCCAGCAGAATTGCATCAGAGTGTAGCTGCTTGTTGCGAGTAGGTTGAATTTTCCCTTTTGATTACTGGATTCCAACATCTGGGCACCAGGTATGTTTCAGGGACTTTCTGCCGGAGTACGGGGGCAAAAGTAAGTAAATGTCATGGGATATATGGCCAGACATGCAACATTGAGATGCAAAATATAGGGTTTGTTTTGGTTTCAAGATGGCTATGCATGCGGGGAAAGTCTACAGGGCAGGATAGATTTTATCTTTTGGAATAGAGAGATGTACATAATTGAAAGGCTGGCCATCTGTGGGAACAATTGAACTGTTGATCATTGATTGGATCAAGAGGGCATGATGCAACCATAAGGCAATAAGCGGAACATAAGCAGGACATAAGCGTTTGTCGCTTATAGATCTATAAGCGGGGGTGGATGCCCCCTGTGTAACTTGATATGGTTCTGGAATGTACACGAGGATGTCGGACGACAAAAGATGGGGAAATGGTACAATAAACGACGCGGGAATTGGAGTGGATCCACGGAAAACGCGTGAATTGAGCGTGTTGCGGAAGGTTCTGGAAGTAGGCGCATGTGGTCGTATTTGGCGCGGAACTGATCGGACCGGATCGGCGGTTTACGCGAGCAGCGAGGAGCAAAGCTCATCATCGTTTCTTCCTATAAACTTGAACACATCGCATTTAGTCGGGCGGTGGAAAGAAAAAATGTGCTGCAAACAACGTATAGGCCTAATCTAGGAATTCAAAATCTATCGTGTCCAGCGTCTCGTACAATAGAGTATAGTGCTGTCCAAATACGGATATAATACGCCAAACCCCGTATCGTATTCATATCCATATCATATTCACCCACCAAACACCGTATCATATCTATATTGTAGCATATTCATATTTTGGTACTGAATATGAATATATTTTGAATATATTTGAATATATTCTGCAGATTTTCTGGTTGAAGAAAAGGCTGTGAATCCTGTCTCACAGACTGCGAGCCTTCTACATGTAAGTCAAGGAATGTCAGGGGACATGCAATGGACCTTCTGAGAGGGAATGAAATACGACACTGAACAGATATGCGAGTTGAACTTTCACATCACAACATTGTGATTGGAACAAACAGTTGAAAGGTCCGACAGGTAGCCGGAATGAGCCAAGAATTACCGGTTCAGTTCAATTCCAAGCTCGGCACGCAAAGGTGCATGGTCCGGTTGATGTCATTTCTGATTTTCCACCGGCAAAGTGGTAGTTTTGTGTATTCAAATATATTTGAATATGCCGCGGCCCGTATCGTATTTTATTCATATCATATCATATTCATATTCAGTCGTATTCATATTCATAGTCTGGTCCTGGGACCGTATTGTATTCATATTTTTCTGAATATATTCAAAATATATTCAACCGTATTATATTCTTGGACAGCACTAACTATTAGAGTATCTCGGATGTGGTGCATGGTGCCCGTCTGCCGAATATGATAGAAATCTCGTATAAGTGGAAGCAGACGAGCGGGGTTCGACTCCCCGCATCCGAAATGACAAAATAGGTTATATCTTTTTGCACTGTGACTGGGATGGGGTATCAGGGTATGCATATTTACTACGCACTGGAATCAATATTCCACCACCGAACCAAGTTAAATTTGCCAGTAACTACATGTACCTCATGTCCCTAACACAGCTCCTAGAAATTCAGCCCCAACTACCTACGAATACCAACTTCGGGCTAGATGCTTCCGTTTTCTATTCCATGAATTGACAGTTGAAGCTGGTTTTTCATGATGACAAGTTGTAGTTCGATGCGGGCGGAAGGCATGCCTGGAGAACATGTGTATATATTTTTCGTTCAGACAATCCTTTGCACACTACTGGCATGGTCTTCCAGAGTTTCATTGCAAATGACAATCCCTCAACAACACCCTTGAACCTTTTCCGCCGAATTACGCAAGAAGCTGCACAGATGTTACCGACGGCTGTTCATGGACTGTGAAAAAATTCAAGCCCGGCCAATTCTGCGAAGCGATCATCCACCTCTTGCGGAGGCTTGGTAACATACTCCCTGCCTTTCGACCACTCCGCCTGCGGCGACAGCTCGCAAAGCTCAAGAAGCTCATCCGGTGCTACATTTATCACCTCATCGCTGCCCATGACCCACTGCAGCACGTCCTCAGGTACCGTCATGATATGACCAAATCCGCCCCCCAACTCCGTCGTGGTTGTGGGTATGATGTCCACATGCGGGAGAGGAGCATCACGGGAAGCGCAAAACAATTGAAGCTCTGCGACGTGCTTCTCCATTTGGTCGCGATTTCGAAACCAGACGTAGTATCTGTCCGGAATATATTCGGCTTTGGCATAGTCGTGTTGGTCTGATGCCAATGGATTTGGAGTCAGCGTCCTGGTCTCACGAAATTTGAAAAGATGGGACGCACCCAAGCCGTTCGGATGTCGAAAACGCCTCACGTTCACAACCTCTTGCCGGGTTTTAACCCACTTCTTCACTTCATATGGCATTGCTGCGTGATATGAGGGGACCGTGTCGCTCAGGGGATCGGGCAGGAATTGTATGACATTCTGGCCGGGGAGCTGGTCGCGGAACGTTTCCATTTCTTTCAGATGCTGGTCTCGGGCCTGGAAACTTCTAAGAAGAACGTATATCTCCCTTCGTGCGAAAGGCTTGTCATCTGAAGCGAACTTATCAGGACTCGACGAGAACGGGAGTTATGCAGCTTTGAACTTACCATCGATATATGCGTCATTGCCTAACAGGAGCACTGACATTCGTTTAACTCGGAGGGAAGGAACAGAGGGCTTGTGTATCCTCGCTGGTTCTGGGATGGGTATTTATTTCCAACGCCACGACGTCGGAGCATCGCCGTTAAGGCTGTAACACGCCGCGCACACTTGTGGCTGACCGGATAAGTCTCTAGAGACGGCCGATAACAGTGTGATCTCCGTGTCGACTCCGCTTTTGGCGTCAGGGGTTGCTTCGTTGCGACGATGTCTGGGCGCACTATTTCGATATAAACCGTTGTTTCAATCCTACGGGATCCGAAGCTTGTCAGGAAAACACCGCGCATAAGTGTGCCGGATCACGAAGATTATCACAGATGGTCCATGGCAATATGTTCCCCGTGTTTCAAGAATTGCCGGGTCAGCGCGGGGACACCATATAAGATCTGCCGAGACGGAGCAAAGAAAGGCTGACTCTCTATCGACGTCGCGGGTTGCTACCATGAGATCTCCGCGTTCCCCGAGTTTCGGATCGCACTTCATTAATGATTTAGTTTGCCACCCAGATCTACCTGTCTGCAATTATAAAAGGCGACTTGATTCCCTCCAAAAATCATCGGCTGGCCCGTATCCACTTCTCACATGACTCGCTTCGCCTTGCACGTTTTAATTTCCGTTGGATTCTGTCTATCTACTCTATCAGTCCCCCTCAGAAATGCAACCATCAGCGAGGACGAGGATGATCCCTGCGCTGAGGAACCTGTCAACCCACCAGGATGCCCCGGTGAGCTCGCTGGGTGTTTATTCGTCGCCGAAGTCAATAATTTTTGCAGTGCTTCCACGTGCGGTGATACCCTCTGTTCCTGATGAAGTCCCCAACAACTATATCGTCACACTAAATCTAAGCACCAAAATGGACCAACATCTACAACAATTGCAAAGCTTTATCTCAGCTAACCAGAAATGTATGACAATGAACAATTCCGTTTTACTCCAGGTGGATCAACCATACTACAAATTCTATTCCGGACAATTCGACGAAATAACCGTATCATTCATTTCACACTCCACTGGGGTCGCCAGTGTAAGCTTCGACACAGAAATGAAGATGGATGATCCAGTTGACAACGGCACCGCAACGTCTTCACGAGAGATTCACCGGAGACGAACGGGATCAGGCTGGTTAATATCCATTCACGTCGTCGAACCATATGGGAGTACACTGATGCTGGTTCAATGTTCAGGAACCTTGGGAGAATCACACAAGATAAGCCTGTTGTACCGGGCGGGCCTGATCAAGGCGCCTCTGATACATCAGACGACTGGACGTATTTCCATAAGAGCGAGGCCAATGGGACAGGTGTAGCGGTGAAGCCCAAATAAATCTCGGCGAAAAACGACGACTTACGGCCAGTCCAGATTTACATCATCGACAGTGGTGTCAACAAGGGTCATGAAGAGTTCGGTGGCCGCGCCACTACCGCAGCGATTGCGCCAGTAGAGAAACAGCGGTCGGTAAGCGCGTTCTTCTTATCTCAACACTCATGAAACCTTATTGTTGTCTCCCCGGTATAAAAGAGTCCTCAGACTGGAAATACTCCGCCTCCTCCTCCGCCTGGCCCTCAGACAGACGAAGATATAGTCGGACACGGTGTGCGTTGCAATATTTTTCGGGAGGAGAAACATTAACATTCCGCATAGACTGCTGTCGCATCCGTGGCGGCGGGCAGCAAGTTGGGCGTTGCAAATCGGGCAGACATTATTTCGATCAAGGCCAGTCTAAATATGCACTAGACAACAACAAAGTCGTTGAATGTCCCCAGATTAGCAACGCCATGAAGGCCTCGAGATCCGCCGTCTACTGGGGCATGGATGAGGCGATAAAGCATTACAAAACTGTTCGCGGCGGCAAGGGAGGAGCCATAATCAATCTCAGTATTAGCACCACCTACAACGATGATCAGGAGAAACCTTTTGGAGCGGTAAATGATTCATGCACATGGTCGGCGTGGATTTACAGGAATTCCATTACAGGCGATGCGCGAAGGAATCCACGTGGTAACCGGTAGGCGGTCTATATGTCCTGTAAAGGTTTCCGATATTCAAGTTAGTTTTTACCAGCGGCAGGAAATGGGCAGATGGACATGGTAATCCAACAGTTTTCTAAATTTCTTCTTACACCTCGTTCTCTCAGTGCGAACAGTGGAGTAACGGACTTGGCGCAATGAACGTAGGAGCCACAGACATTCACGACGACAAAGCTTCGTTTTCAAATTATGGGAAGGTACAGTTCTCACACATTTCCATACTGCGTGACATTGATGCCTTCTTTGCAATACAGTGCGTTGATGTGTATGCCCCGGGAGAAAGTATCAAGGTTGCATCTATTGGAGGCAATAGTGTTCGCCACTCCCATATTTTTGCCGTTTTTACATTGACGTTCCCCCTTTACTTGAGGTCTACGAGGTCGTGAGTGGTACATCGTTCGCGGCACCTCTTATCTCCGGGATGATTGCCTCGATTATCAGTATGAACTTCATTTCCTGCTGGATTGATATATTTCCTTTGGACTCAAATGTTCCCTCATAGGTGCAACACCCAACCGCGATGTAACGACGGACGAGATGAGGGACCTGATTCTTACACAGGCGGCAAAAAATCATGTGTTGAATATCGGGAAGTTTGCAGGCTCGAAGGACCTTCTGGCTACATTTGAGAAGTCCTTACGGACCGGACCATTGGTGGACCTTAAGTAGGACAGAACCGTCTTAATGTAGAGTCATCAGGTTGTCGAAATGGTCTGCAGAATTTATCTGAGCGGTGCCTCGGTTTGCGGAGACCGCTTATTCGATTTGAGTTGATACATAAGAAGGAAAGTCGGAACCGTGGGAGTTCTAACCGTGAGACCATCTACTCGCCACTCGCAAGGGTTTTCACTTGAAAACGATTAGGGTGAGATGATGAAGAATCCGGCAGTTGAAAATATCGGGCGTGTCTGAGGTCCAAAGTCGCGAGATTTTTCAGATCGAACAGACATGGGCAAATACCGAAGAAAACCACACACCTTTTCAAACGCTATCGTGCACACGAATTATCAGTCTTCCAGCTCGGGTACCGCGCCTCACAAATCATGGAAGAACGCCTGACATGCACCCACAGCTCAAGTCCCGGCGCAGGAAAGACAAACGGCGCCACAAAGCCGGTGTGCGCGAGGTGTACAGCTGTTCGCATACGAGGGAGGTAACCACCGCGAGCTGGTTCGTAGAGTTTTGATGGTGAGCGAGATGATGGGGTTGATTTCAGAGTCGATGCGGCACCGGAACCGGATCCTAGAGCCTCGTAAGCACCCGGAAGCTGCTGCATGATGCCTAAGTACGAGAGTGGAGCATAATTGCGAGCCTGTCGGCGTCGTCGGGCGACATCCACTCCCAGCACCGGGAGTTCCACGCGAGGGGCAGACACGCGAGGTCGTCGAAGGTGACCGCGGGAAGGTCGTGAAGTCGATAGTGTGACTGGATGCGCTAAGTGTAGAGAACACTCCTGAGGCCTGAGGCCTGAGGAGTCAGGAAGAAAAAACCGCGAAAGAGCAAGGCGTCGAACACAGCCACTGATCCGTTCGTCGAATTGAAATCCCGGCCGGCACGGGGACGACCGCTCCGATTTCTTCCGGGAAAATATGTCTGTTTTATTCACTTCCTGAATTCAACTGGACCCGTTTTCTTTTTGAGTACTCCTATACTCATTTAATGCTGGTTTATTCGACAGTCTTGTGGTACAAGAAATCGGATGTGGTGTACGGAAC